AGCCTGCTTCTGCTTACCTCCCATTTTGCCTCTGTGAGTCAATTGTCTGTTGATTGGTCACTATGCTAAAATCAGATTAAAGATGGGTACTAAAAAGGAGCTGGGAGGTTCAGGCTTATCCAAACCCCAAGCACATGGAGTTTCACTCATTTAAAGCTGCCCTTAGTCCACAGATCAAGACTGCTTTTCTCACTGGAGTTGGTCTTCACATGGGTCCCCAGGCAGTTTAGATAGGAAAGCGCTGTGGACCGTTGACCATGGGAAAATGGAGTTCTGACCGACAGGCCCAGCAAAAGTGGGAAGCTCTACCTCAGAGGGGGATAAGGAGAGAAGACACCCCTACTGCCAAGCTGTTTCCACAGAAACCCCAAAGTTTCCTCTGTGCCTGCTCTTCCCCTCCCCTGTCCTCACCCTCACCAAAATGCCTCATAGGGTCTTACTGTTGGGGGAGTGTTGTGTATTTCCTCGGTCCTTGCCCCCGCCACAACAAAGAATTGAAGGGCAGAGACACAGTAGTGAAGCAGAGTAAAAGTTTTATTTAAAGTTACTTAGAGAGAGAAGTGCAGCAGGCAACCAACCTCAGCAAGGAGAGGGGCCCTGAAAGGTTGGAGAGAGAAAGTTTAAGATTAAAAGGTGACACACTTAAAAAGTGCGGGCAACCTCAGAGAGAGGAGTACCCCCTGAAAGTTTGGGGGTTCCCCCTTTTAAGGATTCCTTAGGAATGTGACTAAGGGCTGGGGGTGCAGACTTGTTAAGTGGTCTTTGAATACTTAGAATTAACACAAGGAACTTCCTGCTCTGATTTCTCCCTGGGATACTGGTGAGACAGGGACCATTGGCTTAGACAGAGTAGGGTGAGGGCCTCTGGAAAAAAACAAAAGCAAAATAATCCATTGTGAGATTTGCTTTGGCCTACTAAGGGGGGCCCAGTTTATTTTTCTAACTTTACCCAAGTGCTGCTTTTCTTACTCCATCCCTAAACAAATGATTTGTTGCAACTTAGGCAATGTAGCAAGCAAGGCCAAAACAACACAGTGAAAACAGAAAGGATTCCATCTTAAAACCCAATTAGTTAAAAAAGTTCCTTAACAAACAGACAATAACTCAGGCCACCTTGGGAGCAAAGCAGGCAGTCCTGATTGATATGCTCCCAGACCAGTAAGCTGCTATTCTGGGAGGAAATCAGAGAAGTAAAATTCCTGTAAATAACCAGGAAGCCTAATAAGAAACTTAGTGTTTCTTCAAAAGTATTTGAGACCACTTAGCAGGTGTACATCCCTAGCCCTTTGTCTCTCAACTGCCTATAAAACCCCTAGACAATCCACCACCCCTGTGTCCCCTCCTGGCCTGAGCCAGGAGCTCTGTCCTCTTGCTTTCTCTCCTTTCTCTCTAAAAAGCCTCTGCCTTGCTCTCCTACCTTGACTGCCAAGTTCATTCTTCAGCTCTGTGAACAAGAACCCCAGCAGCACTGGTGTCTTGGTCTGGGAGCATATCAAACAGACTGCCTGCCCAGCCCCCAAGGTGGGCTGTTATTGTCTGTTCTCTAAAGAGTAAGTTAAGAATCTTACATTTTTAACTTCCTGGGTATTAAAATACAGTCTTTAAGATGGAATCCTTCCTGCCTTTTACTATGTTGTTTACGGCTGGCCCTACGTGATTAACACAATAAAGACATGGGCTATGCTGAGGTACCCTCCTTTATCTGGGGAATATTCAAACATTCCAGGCCAAAATGCTCCTGGCTTTTTGAGCTTTAATTGATTAATTTGGGGACTTTTTACTTTCTGGCCTTTTTCTTTCCATGCCACTCATATTTATATTCCTCCCTAACATTACCTAAAAGTGGTTGCCTTTGAATTTTCCGTAACAGTAACTTCTAAGAGAAAATGATCACATATTTACATATACATTTAGGGATCCTCTTTTCTTAGCCTTTGAAGTTCTTCCAGCTACCAGAAGAACTGACTCTTCTAGGTTTTTCACAGCCTGAGTTTTACCCTTGGGTAACTCATCCCTGGCCCAAGTCGGTGAGAACTGGTGGAAGGCACCACAAGCTAAAGACCCCAGAACGAACAGATGTGCGCTGTGACCCTCGGCAGGGCTGGGAAACTTTCCAAGAGCAGATGTCACCATCCTTCCTCTCCAGAGCTCCAAAGAAGCCCCAGGAGAAATACAGGAACCATGTAACCAGGGCAACGCCTCACGACTCCAGGGCCATTCACAGGAAAAGCGTGTGACTGGCCCCCTGTGCTGTGCGGATAGTGCTTCTGAGAGCAAGACTGCTTTTGTCTGCAGTGTGCCCTGATTCTCCAGAGACACACACCACAGGGAGCTTCCTGGGAGAAGGGATGTTTCCTGTCCAGGGCATGGAAGCAGACCGCTGCCTCATGAATCTGACAGGATATGGCTGTCATAGGCAGATATGACTTATCTCTGTTCCTCATCCACCCAGAGCTCTCCCAGAGGACCTGCCCTTGTGCTTTGGAAACAGCCCAGCTTTGGAGTGAGGAATTTGGAAGGCTGGTTCTGCTACTTGAGGGCTGCGTGGCCTTGGGTCAATTCCCCCTAAGCCTTGGGTCACTCCTCTGTCTTGTGAATTAACTGTATCTAATATTAGAGTTCTCACACCCAACAAGGAGAATTCCACCTTTCCTGGAAGATTCTGGGCCTCAGTGTGTGGGGTTAGGGGGTGGGAAGAAATGAGAAGGGCCAAAGTAGGCAGACTTGATTCATGAGGGAAAGAACAGCTTTGATGGAGGAGGAAGGGAAAATCCATTGGAAAAGGAAGAGAAAGGAGGAGAGGAAAGCCAGGGTAAGCTGAAGCTGAGCTGGAGGAAAATCTGGAACAATGCAGAGGAAAGGAGGAGAGAGATTCATGAGGCAGCTGTAGACACATGAACTGCATTTAGAGATAGTCAGGGGACTTTGTTGGGATTATTAAGTCACCTTTTAGCATTTTAGAGATAATTCAGTGAAATAAGCAAATAGTTTTATCAAACAGGTTGTTGAAAGCCATTTCCTTCATTGGCTTGTCTAAAAGCAAAATAAGCACAGAAAACACCAGAAGCCTGTTAAGTAACTGTCCCCTCCTTTGTGCCACTCCTATGTCCAGCTTTAACCTCCAGCAGGTCAAGGACTCTGACACATCACTGTAGCCCGGCTCCTCACAGGTGTGGCTGCTGGCCCAAGGAAGATGCCAGTCAGATGTGTCATTGAGTTTATTGATTTCTGAGGCGTTTCCAGTTCTAAGCCTGAAGAAGGTCGAGAGAGAATTACAGCCTCCACTGACTTCACTGCTGTGTGTCATGGGTTCCATGAAGTGTGATGTGGAGCTGACCACTCTCAGGGAACCTCTGAGATGAGCCACAAACTTCCTAGGGGGCATCTGTCTGGAGTTCACTTATGTCAGTCCAAGTTTCCTGTATCCAAAAGAAACCTCATAAAAAGTCATCTAAACCAGTCATACATTATAAGACATTTCCTAATCTTTTGACACTAGCAATAATGAAATGGGGAAAAAATACCTTTGATTATATCTATAGGCAGGTAGTAGTCTGCACCGTGAACTGACAGGTTTTAATATTTGCTGCAAGCATCTGAACACACATTTTTAAAGAACTTCTTCCCTTTTCCTGTCCCATAGTATTCCCTTGTTTTAGCAGTCCCCAAAATGAAATGGGGTAGTTTTATATAGGAATGATATATAGAAATAGAATCAGAGGAATTCATAAAGGCTGAACCAGTTTTAGAGACCATTCTCCTCTGATTTCTTTGTGTAATTTTTGTTTATCCTCATAAGACTGAGAACTAAGCAAAGGAGAAAGTAAACTTGGTCTCCCTCTTACCATCCAACTCCTCACGCCCATCTCAGTTTCACTTTGCTGCACAATGTTGTAGTTCACTGTGCACAGAACAATTTATTTCTGTGGAGACTGGGGGGGAATAAAGCAGTACAGCGAAATCACTTGCCCGTGAAACCGAAATGCTCCTGATGGGGTTGGTGCCGGGTTCAGATGACAGAAGCCCTCCGCTCACAGATCTGTCTGCGCGATGTAGACAGGACAGGAAATCTGCCACACGTTTGCTGACTCTAGGGCACGCAAAGCACCTAATCCCACAGTCTTAAAGATTTACTGCAGGATGAGTCGCAAGTCCAAACATTGAGCCACGTTCCTCCTACCCCAACGAGCTGTCCTCAGAAGTTGCAACGCGTACTATGGGGCCTAGAGGGGCTTTCAAAACAAATAGCCAGAGCGGGTGTTCCCATCCCTAGATTCAGGGCAGCTTCCACACCACTTAAAAGAAATAATGGTATTTTTTTCCTGAACAGAAAAGAATGTTAGTGCAGAAAGTTTAAAAACACAAAAAAGAGATAAGAAAAATGAGATCATAGAATCCTGAAATTTAGTATGTAAATGAAACATTATTTCGTATCAGCACTTGATATACTTGATATATATATGACTATATAACATTGCCTTACAGGGTGGTGCTGTAGTTTACTTAACCAATTAAAATTAATCCCAATTGCTGGACATGAACCCCAATTTGCTGCTATTAAAATCAATACTTTGTGAGGTGTCTTTGTGTACAGATCTTGGCAAACCTCAGCAATAAATTCCTTGGCATAAACTTGGGTATGTTGACATGCCGGGTCACAGAGCATGCCCATTTTAAAGGTTTTTGACAGGCAACTTTTAACATCAATTTCCACTCTTTCTAGTCTTGCCAACATATCAAAATATCTTAATAAAAATATTTTGCCGATTTGATAAAGAAAAATGTTATCTCAGTGTGGTTTTACTATGAGTTTCTATGATTGCTTAAGAGGCTGAAGGATTATTTCATCTATTAACCACTTACATTTTTCTTTTGTTTTGACTTTTTAGACCCTCTCTGTAACTTTTTTGGAATATTTGCCTTTTTCTCACTAATATAGAAGACCTCTTCAAATATTTAGGATAGTAACCTTTCGTTAATATAGTGGTGAATTTTTCCTGGTTGCCATTTACCTTACTTGTATGTATGATTTTTTTTTTTGGATGTACTGAAGTGTTTCATTTCTATGCAGTAGAAACAATCAATCTTCTCCTTTATGTTTTCTGATTTTGGCTATATTGGCTTAGAGAAGCTTTCTCAGAGTCCCACAGACTTTTGTCAATAAATCATAATCACAATACTGCCTTGTCATAGCTCTTCTACTGTTGTACAAAGTGTAAATAGTGAAGAAGGGCTGAACCAGCTCTTAACGTCCTTTCCCCTGCAGTGTGCTTAGTAGATTGTAGCTATTCACTAAAAACATCTTTCAACTGAGCACCTACTATATTCCAGGATCACTAAATATAGATGAATATATATCAGCATAAATAAAGACACTGGCACACAACTGCTTCATGAATTCCACCAGCACATACTGAATAATTAACATGCAAAATGCAGAGACCAGGGTGGAAAAGGAATAGTGGTGAATCAAAAAAAAAGTCCCTGCCCCTTGAGAAATTCATAGTTTAATATACTCTTGAGGAATCAAAGAGAGGTAAGATTTAAAAGTCACAGGTGAATACCTGTAATACAAGGCAGAAAGTATAATACCTCTCAGTGCTCACAGGATGGGGACCAGGGAGGGGCTGCAGAGAAAGTGGCATCTGAAGTGAGCCTGACAGGTTACGAATGAAGGAGAGAACATTCTCTTCCTCCTGGCCTCAAAGAAAAGAGGAAGCAGGCACAGTCACCCCAATTTCTCCCTGTAGTCCCTTAAAATAATAGGTTACCAGCCAAATATGCTTGTAGTCAACCCACAATATGCCCCACGGAGGGCCTCAGTGAGGGTCTGAGGGGAAAGAGTTGAGTTAGCATTTCTTTACAATGCCTTTTGCATTTTCATTTTGCCTGTGGTATTTTTTTGTCATCCAGGCCTCTTCCTTCCGTAGTTCAGTCTTCTTGGATCTTGTGGTGGTTGTATTTTCCAAAGATGGCTGCACCGGTATGATTCCATTTCATATGCTCTTCAGGGAATGTAACTGTGACAGAATAATTAAGAGTTGGAGTCCATATTCCCTGCCTTTGAAACTGCGTGGACCTCTGTAACTGCCTCAACCAACAGAATGTGAAAAAAACAAAAAGTGCTGCGGCTTGACATCCAAGGCTAAGTCCTAAAAGGCCCTCCTGGCTGGCTCCCCTTCTCTCTCACGGGACATGTGCTCTCTGAATGCACCACCGTATTGTGAGGAAGTCCAGGCTGCCTAGAGAGGCTGCAGAGGCTCCTCTCCCCAATGGCCCCAGCCAGGTTCTCCGTCAACAGCCGGACAAGGAGGAGTTGAAGCTCCTGATGTGATTTCCATCTGGAGATATAATTGTGGCTTCTGGAGACTTGATCGGGAGGAGGGGGACTACTGATCAGGTGTGGAAGCAGAGGGAACAGATTGGAGGCTACAGCAATAATCCAGGACAGAGGTTATACCTGCAGAGTAAGGGAGAAGTAGTCCTATCTGGGACACGTTTTGAGGGTAGAGTTGTTGGGATTTGCTGATGGATTGGATAGGAGTTTGGGGAGGGAAAGAGAGGAGTCACTGATGATGTCTGGATTTTGAGTCTGAGCAATTGGGGTAAGTGATGGTGTCATTTACTAAGACAAGGACACATGAGGCAAGAGCAGCTTTGCAAGGCAGGGTAGGTCAGTAGTTTGATCTGGGGCATGTTAGACATCCAAGTGAAAATACTCAGTCACAGTAGGATATATGAGTCTTGAGCTCAGAGAGGCCTAACTAAGCTGGAGATAGAAACTTGGGAATCGTTCCAGATACTATTGCTGTGTAAGACATGACCCCCAAACTTAGCTTAAAATAGCTATTTCATTTGCCCACCAATCTGTGGGTTAGGAATTCAGGGCGGGGCACAGCAGGAGTGTTTAGTCTGCACTCCACAATTTCTGGGGCCTCACCTTGGAAGACTCAAGGGCCGGAAGCAGCATGGGGCCTCAGCAGATGTCGTCTACTGGAATACTTACAGTGGCTGCTCTGTGCGACTCAGGCTTCCTTACAGCATAGCAGCTGTGGTGCAGCTGGACTACTTACCTGGCAGCTCAGGGCTCCAAAAGTGAGTGTACCAAGAAACAAGGCAGAAGCAACATCATCTTCCCTAACTTACCTTGGAAATCATGCAGCATCATTTCCACGAAGTCCTATGGGCTATAAGGGACTCACAGCCTGCCTAGATTCAAGGTGGGTGGGGAGGGTGGTGGCCATAGACCCCTTCTGTGGGGAAGGGTTTGGCCCAGTTGTCAAACCCATCCTTTCAGAATACTATTTTTGCCCAGTCTTCAAGAGCTAAAGAATCCTCCAGCTTACTGAGCTCCAAAGAAAACTAAACATCCAAACAATAGCATCTGGATTTAGATTTAACTTGACTTCAGTTTTCTCAAAGAGCTGGTGAATGTTTTCTTACATTTTGTAGACTTTCCTAAGCCAAGAGAGTCCAAAGGTAACAATGTTTTCACCTCCAGCAAGCTAAACTGCCAAAAGTTCCCGAAATGGCAGGTCCCAGGTGACAATATAAAATAATTAAGTACCTCTTCACAAAGACTCTACAGTAGTTAAACACTCCATGTGTTAGCGTTGGAAGTTCTATTATACAGCCATCTTGTCGAAATAGGCTCTGATCTCTGCAGAGCTATAAAGAACCAGGCACGTGCTGTTCCCTTAATGCTGTTTTTGTTCATGTAAATTATGCCTTATTACACCCAGTAATACTTAACTAGTAAGTTAAAAACAACTCCTTAACAATTTGGACCACTCCAGGCGCCCCTCACGGTTTTGTGGTTTCATGCAATTCGTATATTGTATACACGAAGACTTGCCTGGCAATAGGTAGCAAGAAATGAGTAATTAGAAACACTTCCCAAAGAAATTAGGTGACAAGCGGAGGTTTGAGGATTTCCGAGGGAGCCTGGAGCTGCAGATATTCATTATAGGTGCTGGGGAGGCACAGCTGCTCTGCTGAAAACCGTGTCTAATTGCCATGTGGCTGGATGCAGGGGCGGAGGACAGCCCAGCGCCACCCAGAGCCAGAAATGGTATCCATGGCAACACTACACTCCATTTTTAAACTTCTCATTGCATAAAAAGAAATTGCTTAGGTTTTTATCTTTCTCTTTTTCTTCCTACCAATTTCAGAATTTGAACCAGCAGTAAATACCCTCGGTCTAATATTTCATCGTGCTAATGACCAGCTGGGTTAAGTGCCTTTGGCTTTACCTCCAGCGTTAGCAACTCCAGCCAGTCATTAATTACTGTTCCAGGAAGCATTTTCCGATCAAATTATTGTTTAATCAAAGCAACAGAAAATGAACTCTTATTGCTGTCAGTAACAATTATCGACTCCCTATGAGTCTACACGGGGATGGTGAACTTTTTATAATGTAAGAAGTGTTCCCCTAGGAAGGGCTTTCTCTAGACACAGCAAAGTGGATCCCAGTACTCTTGGGGACTGTTTCCTGTGGGGAGGATGTTGACCCACAGGCAGGAAGACCCAGGCAGGGTACACCTGCACCGCCCTGGATCTCCAGTCATTCTTGTCAGTGTCCCTCTAACCTTGCTGTTAAGCCAAATGCCCTAAATGCTTCTGTGGGAATGTCTGAGGGGAAAAGACTGCTTCCATGAGCTTCACATGCATGATAATAACCACATATCCTGAGTTCCTAAGGTGCCAGGCAGGCGCTGTGCCCCATGGTTAATACACATAATCTCAAGGGGACTCTGTAATAGTCCTCGTAAAGAGTCCCCTTTCACAGATGGGGAAACTGAGGCTCAGAGAGGTTAACTTGACCAAGATCCATCATATTCTGGTAAAAAGCTGAGCCAGAATTTGATTAATAGTCTTTCCATTAGAGCCTTAGCTTTTAATTTATTTTCTAAGTTTTATTTGTCTTGAAATACACATAACTTAAAATCTACCAGCTTAACCATTTTAAAGCATACAGTGGTATTAAGTCCAGTCACACTGTTGTGCAAACATCACCACCACCCATCTCCAGAGCATTTTTCATCTTCCTAAATGGATACTCTGTATCCGTTTAACAACAGATCCTCCTCCCCCCACAAACCCTGGCTGCCACCATTCCACCTCCTGTCTCTGAACCTGGTTACTCTAGGGGATGGAATCATGTACAGTTTTTGTTCCTTTGTAACTGGCTTATCTCATTTAGCATTTTGTCCTTAAGGTTCATCCATTTTGTAGCACATGTCAGGGGTTTCCTTTCTAAAGATGAATAATATTCCATGGTATGTATGTACCACGTCTCTTTTGATCATTTACCCACGGACAGATATTTGGGTTGCGTCTACCTTTTGGCTATTGTGAATAATGTGCTGTGTTCAACATTTACCCACTGAGATACACTGAGACTTGGAGGAGTGACTCTCAGAGGAGGGCACCCAGCCCACGTGCTGCCTGACAGCCCTAACCTCGGCCAAGCACACGTGGCCCATCACCCTGTGAGAAGGCGCCACCTTTACTGGTGAGACAGAGATGATGGGCTTAGACAGAGCAGGGCAAGGGCCTCGAGAAAAAACAAAGCAAGAAAATCCATTGCGGGATTTGCTTTGGCCTGCTGGGGGGCCCAGCTTATTTTTCTGACTTTACCCAGGTGCAGCTTTTCCTACTCCAGCCCTAATCAAGTGATTTGCAACCTGGGAAATTTAGCAAGCAAGCCCAAAACAATGTAGTAAAAACAGGAAGGATTCCATCTTGAAGATTTTAAAACCCAATTAGTTAAAAAGTAAATTTCTTAATATACTCTTTAACAAACAAGACAATAACTGGGTCCACCTTGGGAGCAAAGCAGGCAGTCTTGATTGATATGCTCCCAGACCAGCAAGCTGCTATCCTGGGAGGAAATCAGAGCAGTAAATTTCTTGTAAATAACCTGGAAGACTAATAAGAAACTTAATGTCTCTTCAAAAGGTCTGCATCCTTAGCACTTTGTCTCTCAACCGCTTATAAATACCCCAGACAAAGCACCACCCCAGGCTCTCTTGTCCCTCATGGCCTGAGACAGGAGCTCTTTCCTCTTACTTTATCTCTAAACAAAGGCCTCTCACTTGTCCTACTTTGAGTGTTTGGGAAGTTCATTCCTGGACTCTCTGAACAAGAACCCCAGAGTCACTGGCAGGGGAGAGAGGTGGCCTGAGGCCAAACCCTCTTGCAGGTTGGCCAATTGGAACACCTCAGCTCCACACTGGCACACCTGAGGAATGCAGGTGTGCAGTTGGATTCCCGTCTGTTTCCCTGAGTCATAGTTCTGGCTCAAATCCAGACTCAGTCCAGACCTGCCTGTGGGGGTACCCAGCTGGACTGCAGTCTGCCTGGGGTCTGTGCTGGCTCACCCGCCCACCCCTGCCAGCTTCATCCACCTGGTGGTCCCAGCCAGGCTGAGAATGAGCAGTGTTCTCCTCCAGGGAGCATCTCCAGAGGGGCTTCGTGGAAATGTGCGGGGCATTTCTGGTTGTTCTAATGCCTGGTTGGGGGCTGCTATGAGTAACATGTGGGGCGGGGGGCCTGAGGCGCCCTGCCTTCTCTGTGGGACAGTTGCCACAACAAAGAATTGCCCTGCATCCTGAATCACTTTCAAACATCTTATTAAAATGAATCTTGTAAGCAAAAAGCCTCATGATCATTATCTGAGCCTAAAAGCTAATTAGGTTTTACAAATGGGCACAGAGTAATTTTGCACAGTCTTAATACGCACCAGATTTTCCAGGAATGCAACTATTGAGTAAAAGACTTTAAATATTTGGAACTTTACCTAGGGGTGTTCCGCATTTGGAAAATCACGACAATGTCACTGCTAGTATCTGAGTTGCAAAAATCTTTATGCAACGCATCAGTTCCATTTGAATTGCCACATTCAGGAGAGCCCACATTTGGAGGCAGGAATCCAACACATTTCTTAGGTCTTCTGGTGTAGTCCTTCCGAAGCACTTACATATTGAAATGTACACTACAGTATTATAAATTCATTATTCTTTTCTTTATTTTACACTCAGGGCATTATTACTTTTATTTTGAAATGTTCTGTGTGTTGATTGATTATATTAGACCACAACTCATCCACATGTTGCAGATTTCAAAATGGTAGTTTGGATACACTGTATTATATAACCCCTCAGCAGGGTCTGGAACAGCATTCTATAATCAAGCATACTAATATTTCTACTAGAGCAAAACATAGACACAGAGTGACATGAATAAAGTCGATATGTAACTTCAGATCAGCTCAGAGCAGATTTTGCTGACAAAATTAAAAAACAAACAAACTTTGGAGTGTCAAAGCTTTTTGGATTCTGGATAAGGGTTTGTGGGCTTCCATTCCCTATGACGCTCATGTGGTGATAATGAAGGGGGCATTTTAAGAAGGGGGTACTGGACCTGATAGGCTGAGAACATGACTTCATGCACCGCTTCAAGCCAAAATCAGTCTTGGGTAAGTGGGCCTCTACCCTAAGCCTGAGGTTCTCCCTTCCTGAAGTTTCCTCTGGGCTCCCATGAACGTGAGTGACCTGGGCGTTCTATTTCCTGTCTTTCAGCTCTGGACCTTCACAAATTACCTTTGTCAGTTGACCACTATCCCATGCAATGCCCCCGAGGTAACTGGCCACAGCTGATCACTGCCCCAAGCAGGCAGATAGGAGCTCTGAGTGTAAGGTTGAAGGCACTGGGGGGAGGGGTGAGCACATCGGACACTAATGACGTGCCAAAGTCCCCAGCTGCTGCCCCCTCCCAACCTGAAAGACGTGCCTTAGGCTAGCCAATCCTCGCGCCGCTGTAAATCTAAGCTCTGCCTCCCCCTACCTTATTTAAAAACTCGCTGCCTGCCCTGCTGAGTGTGACTTCCCCAGCCTGTGATAGCCAGACAGGGGAATATCACCCAGGAAATGCGCTCAAATAGACTGCCTGGCCCTTAGTTGCCTCTCTTCGCCTGCTTATTTTGGCTAGAATTTATCTTACATTTGGTGCCAAAATCCCGGGAAGGTGCATGAGCGCGGGGCCCTGACTGGCCATCGGCGGCCCCACCCCCTCTTTCCCCGACCTGGGACCTCAGCCTGCTCTCTGCTGCATGAACTATTTTCCGGTGAGTCCCTCAGTTTCCCCCGGTCTGTTTCCCTTCCTAACTCCATTTCACCTGGTCCATCCAAAATCGTATATACACCCAGGTTTGGGCATCCAGCCCATCCCAGGCAGGCATCCAGGATACCCGCCCCTGGCCCTGTGGTGTGGGAGACGTCCCTCACCCAGGCTCCCAGGCCGTCTCCCCTGACTTGGTGCGCTTGGGATGCTGGGCGCTCCTCTCAGCGGGATTAGTTGGGAAGTGGCGCAGACATTGGGAACCAGCCCTCAAAAGCGGAGGCTCAGACCCTGTTACAGTGTCTCATTTCTAATTTGGCTACTCTATGTTTGTACTGGGAAGTTTACAAACGGAAGCTAGTCTTTCTTTGCTCTGAGTCTGGGCCTCAGTATCCCATGGACAATCAACTCACTGGCCCCCTGAGAGAACTTTTGATTTTGGCCTCCTCACCGACTTAACTAATTACTGCCACTGAAGCAGAGAGTGGGGTGAAATCCCATATGTGCAGGCTTTTTGGACTTTGCGCTCCTGTCCAGACCTTTATATTACCTGTTCAATGACTCAGGTTCTCCTAGCCCAAACTCCAGTTAAAGACTGTCAGCCTCTTACTCTGCTCAGTCCTTCTTCCTTTTCAGATCCACCAGAAAACCTCAGTTGCCGCCTCCCTCAGCTCACAATCCCCTTCCCCTCTCTCCACCACCATCTTTAAGTCCTTTGTCTTCACACGTGTCGCTCATATTAAAGTCCTACATTCTCAACCATGCTGTGGTCCTGCTCTCTTCTTCCAGTGGCTGCACCACCCCCTCCCCCTCTCCTTCTGCCTTCACCGCCCTCTTCCCCCACCAGAACACACTCCTCCTGCCCTCTGGTTCCAGAAGCCATGGACAAGAAGCTGAAGAGAAAGAAAGCAATTAGGTATCAGTGACTCAAGTCTTTATATCGGTTTGTCTGTCTGTGTATATGTTTTTGTGTAAGAAGTGTTGCTGACTGTAGTCGTTGTGTCTCACTTTGTGTATTTGTGTGTCTAGGTGTGTAGATGAAAAATAAAAATATTTTCCTACCTCTGGATGGTATTAATAAAAATTGATTTAAAAACAAGCACTTGTGAAAATTGGGCATTCTAAAACTTCCAGAAAATCTAATAAAAAATGTTAAGCATTAATGCTAATATAAGTTTGGCTGAAGTGAGCATGTCCTTGTGGTTATCAGCTGCCTAAGTTTACCTAAAGTCATTTAAGTTGATGTTACCTGCTAAATCTTTTAAGAAAAAAATGCTTAAAGGCTTAGCTTTGTCTAATATTCAGTAAAGGTCTCTTAAGTAATCTAGCATAGTTGTTATGAATGAGTGAACTAAATAAGTGTGGCAAGTGAACACCTTTTTAATTGTGTGTTACAGTGTGTATACCTACCTACAGCCTGAGAATCTTTGTGGTAACCTAAAACCTTAAAGTTTTGCTAAGAAGATATACTTTGTGTTTAGTGAAGATTGTGCTGTAAAGCTCATAGTTACAAAAATTATAAAATGTTCATAAATTTGTCTATCTAAAGAATGCTCATGTAACAGTTTACAATAGCCTGCTTCTCAGTGTTCACTAAAAATTAAAGTACCTAATAATTTTAAGTTCTAATTAAAACTACTTAAAGTAATAAGGAAAACATTTCTGCATCCTAAAGAATGTGTTCTTTTGATAAAAGAAAGTAACTTTGTTCTAAAGTACAGCTGTTTTTACAGAGAGAACTCTAAATGAAAAAGAGGGGTATAGAAAGTTTGTAGAAGAATTTAATATGGTCATGCTATATAAAATTAAAGCAAATGAGTCTTGGTATCAAATACACAGCAAAATTAGAATTTTGTTTTCAATTAAAAAAGACAGTTTTCTTAACTATTAGTCTGCTCTTTGAAGGGCCCCCACCCATAAGATGGCGAACTTCTGGCTTCTCTTCCGGGTCCTCGGTTCCCGACGGCACCACCTGAAGCCCAATCACCTCTCGCCCCCCTCCCAATCCCAGCACCTAGCCAATAGCCACCAGCCCCGTAGAAGTAACACCACAATCACCCCATGCCCCTTCCTATATAACCCAGCACGTTTCCCTAATAAAGCGGAATTCTCCGGTGAATTGCTGCTGTGTGTCACTCCTTCCTTTCATTGGTGCC